GCAAAAGCTGTTCTGCTGAAAGCTGGGTGGGTTGTGTGGTAAAGCAAACCCTGTCTGGTGTTCTAGGACAGCTGGAACCTCTTAAATTAATTTTTGTTTTGTTTTCTGCTAGAAAAATACTTGTTGAGTGATGCTGATTTCTTTGTGCGACGATGAAGATTTGCTTTTGCTTCTTTGAAAAGCCTCTTGTGAAATAAGGTTTGGATTTATCAGAATAGCCCATTTTGAAAACTCATGAATGAAAAGATCTCAATTTGTGAGGAAAATCTGCGGTTCTTTTTAAAATGCTTTTTAGCAGATATTAAGCAAAGGAGTGTGTAAAATAATAGATGATCCTAGCAAGCTTTTGTTGGAATCAGGTCATTCAGATTGCCTCTGTTTCTGTAGATCTCTTTATGAAACTGGCTGGGATTCTTATTTGATTATCATTATTGTTATTTTTTGCTTTAGTTACAGTAGGAAATTTTATCACGATATGTCAGTGCTTATCCAATAACAGAATGCAGGTTCTTTGCCCCTGTTCATCTCCTTTGCACAGAAGCATTTTGTTTTAAATGAAGTCTACAAATAAATGTAAGTAAAAATTAAAAATATACTCAGAAGATTTTTTATTTTTTTTTTTCCCAAGGGCAGAAGTTAACTTGGCTTTTCTGAAGCAGGGAATAAATGTCTGGCTTTCCCCTCTTTCCATGTGGGGCAGCCTGGGCAACAGCAAACTGTGTGCTCCCTTCCAGCTGAAATCATGCTTGTGCTTCAGGAGCAAAAACCAACTGTTGAGATGGAGGTGAGGTGTCCCAGATCTGATTTTTGAGTAGGAACAAGAGAGGCTTGAGAAAACTCGTTTTCTCCTTTCCTCCAAAGAATGTAAGAAACTGCGGTTAGCTGCCTGTCTCCTAGACAGCAGTAGCCTAAAAATAACAAACGAGAGATTAAAGAAAATCAATCAATATATACTTCTAAAAAAAACCTACAGTTGGAAAGCTTTGCAATGGGCAGGATACAGGAAAACACAGAGAGAGCTCCGCTTCCCAGGAGCTTTCCTTTCTCAGCAAGAGGAAGAGCTTGGGCGCTGATGTTTGGAGGCTGGTGCTTGCTGTCCCCAGACTGTGTGTGGCTGCTGGACTCCTCCTCTTTGGGGCTTAGATAAAGAGCACTGGGTTCATGATGCTGGTGGTCAGCAGTGTGAGTTGGGTGCATTAAAAAGAGTGTGGCCAGCAGATCGAGGGAGGTGATCCTCCCCCTCTACTCTGCCCTGGTGAGGCCTCATCTGGAGTACTGCGTCCAG